CCCCCCCCCACCAGTGGTCTTGCCAAAAGAAAATGCTCCCACGACCAATCCCCCATGAGAGGTAAGGCTTAACCTTCCAGTCTCTACAACACTTTAGAATCACCTATGTTAAATGAACAGGTAGTTGGGAGCCTACCCACACAATACTTAGCAAATATAAACTTAGCCTAGTGGCTCACTTTAGTGCGAAAGTTGTACCACAACTTGAAGGAAAAAGCATGGGCCAAGTCAAGAAAACTCTTACAGCCCAAGCCACCCTCATCCAAAATGCCACAACAATTGTCCCAAGAAGTCTAAATAGTTTTAGTATGGCTATTAACATCTTTCCAAAAAATTTTGTTAAACAATCTATCAATTCTCTTACAAACCACCTATGTGGGTTGAAGAGTTTGGAAAATATAAACATAAAGAGAACAAATAACACTTCTAATAAGAACTAATCTACCTCCAAAACTTAGGAAATTAGCATTCCAAGACAAAAGCTTGTTTTGCACAGGATCATCAAATAGAAAAGGCTTCTTTCTAGCTTTAAAGAGATGATGTTTAATAGGTATTGACATTATACAAAAACAGTCAAGCGTTTAATAGCCAAAACATGGCCATTAGGTACCTTGTTGGAAGCAATAAAATAACACTTGTGTTTATTCAAAGAAAGTCCACTAACAATTTCAAAATTATGAAAAAGCTCCATAAGTGTTTTATTCCTATTTAAAGAATAATTCATGAAAATAATAAAATCATTAGCAAAACATAAGTGAGAAATAGGGAAACCCCCCTAGGTTCTAAAATAGATGCTAGGGTGCTTCTCAAAGAGGTTAGCAAGACCTCTAGATAAATACTCAGCAGTAATTATGAAAAGAGCAAGATAGATAGGATCTCCCTGCTTAAGGCGATGAGAAGATTTAAAAAAACCATTTCTTTTACCATTCTCAATAATAAAAAAATAGGGCCCCTCAATGCAGTTTTTGATAAGATTAATAAAAATCAAATTAAAACCAAATAATTATAAAATATTTTAAAGAAAGTTATAATTAATGTTGTCATAAGTCTTGAAAATATCAAGCTTC